ATCTGATAGATATCTAGCTGGCAGTAATTTAGATGTGTTATCAAAAGGCTACCACAGCCAGACTGTTTGCTCTTTAGGATTTCTAAGATATTGCTCAATCCTGTACCCTAGTTTACCCTACCCCTTGTAATCAATAAAGTTCTCCTTTTTGACTGGTGTGGGAGACTTATTGAGGGGTGGGTCTAAATTATGCCTAAGAGATCCCTTAGGGATCCCTTAGGGATCTCTGCACCCGCCACAGGTTCCATTCCTAGATCGATGTCAGTGGGGTGCTGGGAACATCCCTTAACCTTCCTGTGCTTCAGATTTCCTCTCTCTATTGGGACAGTTGTTCATTTAAGCTGTCTCCACCTGGATTCAGTTTCTACTAGGAAAGCCATTTTTAGGGTGACCTGGCAAGCTGTAAAACAAAGCAGTGAGCATCTCTCTCTTCCTCTTCTGCTTTCTTCTGTCTACAGAAAACCTGCTGGTTCTTACAGTGGCCACTAAGGAGACTGAGGGATTCACGCGTTTCAAGAGATCAGCTCAGTTCTTCAACTACAAAATCCAGGTGATGTCTGGCAACTTCCAGGGGGCAATGAACAAGGAACTTCTGGGAGGGGTTGGGGGTATGACCATAAGGGGTAACCAAGAAAAATGACCCTGTGAAGATGTTCCCTGAAGCTGTTGTGGCTGAGATGAGCTGCTTGATAGCTTGAGGTGACATCTGTGGCACGTGGGTCTCCAAAGGTAGCTGCAGTACACAGTGCTTGCATCATGAGGCAATGCTAAGTTATCATGTTCCAAGGGTGAGAGGAAGCATGGTCTGAACAACACTGGAGATCCAGCCCTGGTCATTCCATACAGAGCTGCTGTAGCATAACTCTTTGCAGCCGTATGCCTGCACTGTGCCTTTCAGGGACTCTGAGTAGCGCAAGGTGGTGCAGTGGGAGCTTTGCCTCTGCCACTTTCAGTATCCCTACACCATTCCCTACCTACTTGCACTGGGAGAGCTAAGACCACTGTAGCTGTGAGCTGTCCTGTGCTCCTGGACATGGGGGCTTTCTGAGGGTGATGCCTGCTGGGGGACTGAACCCTTGGTTAAAAAATATGCTGAACCATTTAGGTGCTGGGTCTGGATGAGGAGTGGCATGGTGAAGATGACAAGGCGGCAGCTGGGGGTGGGCAGAAGGTGCGTCTCTTGAAATCAGCCCTGAAGCAGCATGCAGACAAGGAGGACTTGATCATCCTGTTCACAGAAAGGTAATGGGTTGGAAAGGACTTGCTGGGAGCCAAGTCCTGGGGTCATGTGAGGCAAGATTTTAACAAAGGGGAATTAACCGAGAAAGGAGGTTGCCTGAGGAAGGTGTTTCCAGGCCTCCTGAATTCCTGTCTGCCAAGATCTGCTGAGCTTAGCTGGATGCTAATATTAAATGCATCCATGCCAACTGGGAAGTTCTCATTCAGTGGACCAAGTCCAGCCCTTGTGTTACCACTGCCTGTGCCAGGACTGAGCTTGGCCTTCTGTCTCCAAGACATCAATAGCCTGAGTCTCTAGTTTTGGCCAGGCCTTTCCCAACAGAAGTATCTGCTTTATGAGGAGAGGCAGCCTGCAAGGTGACAGGTGTCGTGGGAGCCAAAAGCCAGTCTGCCAACTGAACGCAAGAACTAAATAAAAAGACCGGACTGATGGATGATATGGAGAAGAGTCCAGGCTCTGAGGACATGCTGAACCTGCATTGAAGAACTGAAGACCCAGGGGCAGTGAGTGGTGATGCAGGGAGCTGTATCCACCAGTGAAATGAGCAGCTGTTGCTCACAGTAGGTTACTTTGGAAAAACAAGCCTTGCTGCAATTAAAGGCAGACCTCATTCTGGCATGCACTGGCAGGAGGGTCATGTGTAAGATACAGGAGGCAACTATTCCTATCCTCATCTCTGGCAAGGCATCCCCATCACACTTTAAGAAAGATGTTCTTCCCATTTGTCTTCCCATACAACAAGAATGATCAGAGGTTTAGGAAATGTGACCTTGGTGGAAAGGTTGAAGGAAATGCATTTGTTTAGTCTAGGAAAGAGAAGCCTGGGAGAGTGGATGGGACCTGGTAACAGTCTTCCAACGTGGAAAATGTTGTTTACAGCAAGGATGGTGATGAATCCCATGTCCTCTGGGGGAGGGATGAGAAGAAATGGGCTTAGTTTGCAGCCCAGAAGATTTGGGTTAGCCATTAAGAAAACTTCCTAACCATAAGCATACTGAAACACTGGGACAGACGACCCAGGGGCCTGTTGAATTCCTTCCCAGGGAGGGTTTTCCAGGAGAGCTAAACATCTGTGAAGGATGGTCTAGGTAGGCTTGATCCTGCCTCTGGGCACAGGAAGAGACTAGACTGTCCTCTTGAGATCCTATCTGGCCTTATGTTCCACTGATGGCTTTTAAGTGCCGTGCTCCACTGTAGGAGTCCTGCTGCCCCATAGTTGACTAGTAATCATGACAGGGGCTATAGCACAAAGAAAATAAGGATTTCTAGGGTTTCTCAGTTACTTACTTTTAGCTCCATTCCCTCCATTTGCCTTGTTTTGTTGCCCTGTAGCTATGATGTGCTCTTTGCATCGGGCCCTGCAGAACTGCTGAAGAAGTTCAAACAGGCCAAGAGCAAGGTGGTTTTTTCAGCAGAGAACTTCATCTATCCTGACCGAAGGCTGGAAGCCAAGTACCCCCAGGTGCGAGATGGCAAACGCTTCCTGGGCTCTGGAGGTAAGAATCAATTTGGCATCTCCTGGTATTGCATTGCCATTACACATGGGTTTGGGAAAAGCAGATTTGTGAGACGTATAATGGGGGGTCTGGAAAACAGCTTGCTGATGGAGCTAGTGGTGATGGGAACTGTGTGGAGCTAGTGGTGATGGGAACTGTGTGCACGCAGCCATAACACACAAGACAATCATGCGTGAGCATGTTTTTCTCTTGTTGCAGTCCTCATGTAGGATAAGAACCCATTCCTTATAGCTCACTGGAGGATAAAGGAGTTGGTACATTTTTGTGCTGAACTTGAAGGATTCTATCCCAAATGATGATCTGTTGGATATAGCAAAGAATGTGATGCTGTCTTTGCTTTGTTGCAGGGAGATTGAGATACGTGTGTCCATGTGTATAGGAGGACTGAGATTAGATACCTTCTTGGCAGAAGGACTGAAACTGTAATTCTATAGGATGCCTCAAGGCATTCCCTTCTGCAGCTGAATTAAAAGCCCTGTGGTTCATTTTACTCATTGCCTTGTCCCCACAGGATTTATAGGTTATGCTCCAAATTTGAACAAGTTGGTGGAGGACTGGAAAGGACAGGACAATGATAGCGACCAGCTCTTCTACACCAATATCTTCCTGGATCCAGAGAAAAGGGTGCGTGGAAGGGAGTCCTGTTGTTTCAGACATACTTGGCGCAACTATTTATCTATCTCCAGCTGGAAGAAAGGGTGTTGAGCTCGTCTCCCCAGCTCATTCTCCTTAGGTTACCTCTTACTATAGAGTCCTCCTGGGCTTCACTTTGTCTCCCCATGATGCCTCTGTTGGCATTTGTGCGTGCAAATGGTTATTGGCATATTCAATTTCCCATTTGATTAGTATTAACATGTATCCTTACAGCCCCACCCTTGTATTATCCTGCCTGTTGTTTATCCTCTAAAGTGTCCTGTGTTCTGCAAGTGTTTTTAAACCAAGGTTCATTGTACCTGAATACCAATAGCAGCAATATCTTAAAAGCAGGAAAAGTGTATTGTTTTGACCAAATAAATATTCTTGTGGAGTGTTTGAAACCAGACATGAAAGGATCGTTCCAGGGCTTGAGGATAAGGAAACAAAACTACAGTCGTAAAAGAGAACAAATGAGTCCTCAGTTTTCATCTGAAGTATATGCAAAAAGACAGGAGCAGTGAGTGGAGATGGTTTTGCTTATCCCATTGGGTCTGAATCTAGCTCATGAGCTTTAACATGAGTTTCCGTCTCATATTCTCAATGCCATATCAGCTTAGCATAATTCCACTGACAGGGCTTTCAAAAACCAGCTACCAGCACTTTTCCCCTCCCTTATGGGGGGCGGGGATGAGTCTTAGAAGATGTTGGCATGCAAGTTGGATGTGATCCTGACAAACTCCAGTCACAGCATGGCTCTGAGCAGCCCAGTGTAAATGCAGATTGTCAAACTCGCTGAGCTGTGGTACAGCACTGGTAATGAACAGCACTTGAGATGAGCATAGTTCTGTGACGGGAAGAGGGTAGAAGCAAGACTGTGTTCACAAAGGGCGTTTATGCTTGGTCTGCACTCCTAAATATGTTATGACATGCAGCTTATATGTCGCTGCACAGGCTGGCAAGTGCCCTCAATGTGTTTATTTGCCTATGTTATTATCCTGCCCAGTAAAGCTTCATGCTGTTCATTTATCCAGCTTTGCCTTACATAGGATAATTTGGAAAAGGGAGAATTGCTCAGAGCAGACTGAAGCTGAGACTCACTGGAAGGGTTTGAAGGTTTATTGGAGGATATGCAGGTAATCAGGGGAGTACAGTACCACTGAATTCAGCATGTGGACCATCACAGAAATTGTCTCCAAGCATGAGGGACAACAAATAGCAGAGAGAGGAAAGGAGGCATAGGCAAGGAAAATTACATTTTCAGATGAGATCTAAAAGCAGATGGAGCCTCCCTAAGGCTTGGTGTTGGGAGGATGAGGCTGTTACCAGGAGTTGCAAAGAAGACTTTAGTAATAATAGTGAGATGTGAGGAAAGGACAGAGGTAATCAGTGTTACTTCAGTGAAAATACGAGGGCTCCTAAAGGATTGAGAGGTAAGGGGGCTACATTGATTTGTTCTAGCAGAAGATCAGGTCCCTGCTTTTGTACCTGCACGGAATAATGGGGCGCGTGGGCTGGTAGGGCACATGGCTGTGCGTAGTCTAAATGGGGTCTTTTATTTCACTTTTTAAAGGAAAGTATTAACATCAGCTTGGATCAAAGAAGCCGGATCTTCCAAAACCTGAATGGAGCATTAGGTGAGAGAAGAGTGCAAGGCAGTTGCCTGCTGATACACAAGAGTTGCCTGGGGGCAGAAGTGGCTAACATGCAAACCCATGCTGAAACCAGGTTTTGGTTCACTGCTTTTGCCCCAGGATCCTACAATTTGTTTTCTTTCCCCACTGGCCCCAGACTGAATTTGTGATCTGATCCTGTCCCTGTATGTAAGAAGGCAGTCAGGTTTTCCCTTCCACACCTCCTCACTGCGTCGATCTCCACACATGTCAAATGACATTAGTTTTGGGGAGTGAAAGCAGGAGGAACCTGTTGGCAGGTAATAATACAACCCCTGCTGCCTTGTGCACAGCATTGGACTGAAAGATGTAAGAAGTGGAAAGCAGGTGAGATGAAGCCAGATGCCATGTAAGCGCTAGGTCAGAATGTGCTTTCAGCCATTCGTTATTCCACCATTGGCAAAATAATCTATCCATGTCTTTTCCTGAGGCAAGAGAGTGAGGGATTTATTTGGTGTTATTATATTCTTTTCCCCTGATTTTCATCATTTCGGGTTTTATCACTGTTGGGTGTTTGGAGGGCTTGTTCTTAGCATACCAGGGAGTGACTGGAGTTTGTCTAGACTAGTCCTTTTCTCAGAAGATTTTGCTTTGCTAAGCATACACCCTGATCAGTCCCCTTGCATTCAGAGGGATGCTGCGGGTAGATGGATCAGAGGGGAAGACATTGGGACTGTGAGGGAAGTGCACAATTCAGAGATGGATCTTTCCCAGCACTGTGCTGGTGCTGAGCAGTTCGTAACAACATATTCTTTACCTATTCCTGTTTTAAAGAGCCCCAGTTGCTCTTGGGAGACTGCCTGACAGTCTAATGGTTTCACCTTCTAGGAAAGTTTTAGTGATACTTTCCTTTGGCTCAGCCCCTTCCTTCCTAATTCCACTCCCTTTCAAACACCCTAAATAATTCCACTCCCTGTTCAACATGGTCTATATCACCCAAATGCCAGTAGATGGTTGACCAGCCTTTTTCCCCCACCCTCCACAACCTTTCCAGCTACAGTTTGCAGCAGAGGGTCAGATAAGTCAGGATGTTGTCAGCTGCTCCTAAAGCATCCTA